GCACCCTATAGCAAAAACCTCTCCAAAAATAAATGAATGAATAAATAAAGTCAAATAAAATAATTCTTTAAATAAAAAGAAAAGGACGTGGCCCCCGCCTACACAGAGCTGAACGTGTACATGCTGGGCTGACAAGGCTGGACAAGACGCTCCGGTGGCCACGGCACCTGGCGCAGCGGCTGAGACGTGCTACCTGCAGAGGTGGCCTAGTCCTGCTGAGGACAGGAAACTCGGGGCTGCAGGGTGGCCGACCCCTCAGTGTGCCGAAGAGCTGCGGAGAAGGCACAGGCACGAGGGAAGAAGTGTTCTCTATGTTTGACGGCATGAGGGCCTGAAGCCTAAAGAGTCATTGCAGCCCACTGTGCCCAGGGCCAAGAGGGCTGGGAGGTGTGTGTGTGTCTGTGAGCAGGTTTTGGGGAAACCCCTCCAGGGCTGATATGCTGGGCAGACAGGAAGAGCAGGGGGATGTGTCCCAGGCCTCTAGTGGAGGTGGTGCCCAGGAAGGGGTCGAGTGGCACCTCACGGTTAGGTGTGCAGGCACTAGCAACTGACTGGATGCGAGGAAGAGGCAGCAGATGGATTTTCCAAGGACACTGAGCAGTGGTTCAGATGAAAAGGCTGGGGCATGGACAGGAGGTGTGTGTCTTCTGTCTGGCTCCCAGCTAGGTCCTCTGGGAGGCAAGCGAAAGCCTCCGCCTGTCCCTGTCCGTAAAGGCTCCACATCGGGCAGGGATGCTCGTCCCTCTGCCTCTTGGCGCCCTCTGCTGGCAGCTTCAAATCACATTTAAACATTTCCAGACAGGAAGGGAAATGCTTGGAGTCAGTGGTTTTGTTTCAGTTTGGGCAGATGGATGGATGCCTGTGACAAGTCACTCCACAAGGGGGTGCCCCAAGACAGTCGGTGCTCCTGCCCCATCCCAACTGCTCTGGCCTTCCCTGGCCACATCTTGCTGGAGCCAAGAATGTCCCTCAAAGCTGCTTTCCAGCTAAATCATTTTTACTATTATTCTTCTTCAGGTTTTTGCCATGGGTGTGTGTGCTCACCAGGGAGAGACAGGGAAAGTGAGACATCGATCCGCTTCTCCTCCATTCTCCCTCAGGGATTTTGGACACCGCACACACGTGCCTGGTGTGATTTTCAAGCCACCAGGTCTGAGACTCAAACCGTGGTCAGCCAGCGCCTCAACCACTATGCCACTTGCTGGTCCCTTTATTCTTTTTCTTTTTTAATTGCCAGGGACAATGTACATTCACCACAGAGAGACAGAAACACCCGCCCACGATGGGCTCTGGTTACACTGCAACCCCTTCTCCTCCATTTCTCCAACTGTTGGGTTTAGGGTGTGTATGCACCCAGTATATTTTTTTCTTTTCTTTTTTTTAAAGAATTATGTATTTTATTTGTTATTATTATCTATTCATTTATTTTAATTTGACCAGAGAGAGACACAGCGAGAGAAAGGGAAAGTGAAAAGGCAAGCCACCAGGTCCAGAGCTCAAACCATAGTCAGCCATGTGGGAGTCCAGCGCCTTAACCACCACGCCACCTGCCGGCCTCACCCCCAGTGTATTTTTTCAAGCGTTCAGGGCTAGGACTCAAACCACAGTTGGTCATGTGGGCTCCAGCTCCCTTGACAGCTAGGCTATGAGGCCACCCCCTCCAGCTAAACCTTGGCTGGCTCCCAGAGCAGGTCCATAGACTTCAGGTCCATGTCGGCACACCCCACCAGAACCCCAATAAGTAAAGTCCCTTACCAGGAGCTCTCCTGAATTGTGAGCCCCGTACCACCCCAGACATCCACGAACCTCTCTAAAAGTAGGCGGCTGACAGTCTCGCTGGCCACTGGTGGCAGGTTCAAAGTTTCCTGTAGCATCTTTAGCTTCTTTTTCAGGCTCTTGGGGAAGGAAAAAGGAGGGTGAGCGAAAGGCCAAGGCATGAGTCCATAGATGATGCAGAGGACACAGCAGCTTTCACCAAAGGCTGAGCCCCCAGGAAAAGAGCAAACCCTGAACCCCCAAAATCGGGCTCAGGAGGCCAAGATGGCAGGTGTCAGAACTGCTCTCTAGGGGAGCCCCTCCCCTGGTGACCAAGAACTCCGGGATGCAGGCACAGAAGAGAGCAGGGTGCTCTGACTGCACTCTGCCAAGCAGGACCCGGCTCCAGACCAGTCAGGGACCGAGGTGCACGCTGAGCCAGCAAGACGCGGGGACCCAGAAGCACCACCACTGACTGGCGCAAGGGTTCTGGGGCGGAGATAGGGAGGACACACAAACCAGCTCTCATTCCTGCCAGGCGAGGGGTGTCCCTCACCGCGATTTCCTTCTCAGCGCTATGTAAGTCCTTCTGGGCCGACTTCAGTTCTAACTTGGCTTGATCCAGTTCAGAGTAGACGCCTTGCAACTACAAGAAAATAGAGTAGAGAACAAGGCAAATGGTGGCCATGGGCCCTGCCTCCAGCTGTTGCTACGCAGGGCATGGTCAGGGGACCCCGGCTCTCTGGGGTGAGGCCTCGGTCTGGCAGTGCACACCCAGAGCTGCCCAGGAGCAAAGGCCACTTCCCACGTCCTGCATGGATGCGCCATGTCAGAAATGGAAGCAGCAGCTATGCCAGCAGAATGGGATTCTAAGAGCCTTCTACTCTGGGCTGGTACAAAAACAGGCCTCTGAAGCTGTCACGTTTGATACCTCTGCCCTGCAGCAGCTAGGTGCCCAGGAGCCTGGAAGAGCAGAGGGGAGCGGGAATGTGCACATATTGGGGTCTGCCACCCCAAGTGGACAAGCCACAGACAGTGGCCAGGAAGGACCAGTCACTGGTCTCCGTAGCCCCAAGAGGTCAGCTGTACCCGAACGAGACCCGAGTGAGCATAACACAGGACGGCCCCCTTCCCCTTGCCTCTGCTCCGAGTTACCTTGCTTCTGGAGGAGAACAAGTCCTTCCTCAGCTTGTCAGCCAGCTCCCCCGAGGACTTCCGTGCCTCTTTCAGATTCTCGTACTCCCTGCAACATGGTCACGGAAAGAGATGCCAGAGCAGGACGACCCGTGGGTCACACTGAGGCCCGCACCACGCTAACACAAAGCCCTGCCCGAGCCCGCAGCTCATCCTCATGCCTACTCTGATCCTGGGCCCAGCAGGGGCCTTGCACAGGATGCCAGGTAGCTCTGTTCCCTGTCCTCCCTAGGGGGCGCCCAACACCCCTTGGTCCTTTCAGGGAGTATCTTGGACCCTCTTGGCCCTCCTTCCCGCCAAGCTTACAACCACCACAGTAAAAAAACATGAGCAAAGTTTCTGATCCAAGCCAGGAGGGGTCAGAAACAGGGGTGATGGGAAACAGGCTCCAGATGTCACGATGGGCTTAGAGTTCAGAGAGCTGCGTCACTTCCCTCAGACACAAGTCTTAGCACGCACACAATTCTCTTAACAGCCCTGGGAGGTAGGTCCATTACTCTCTGTTCAGAAAGCTGACGTCACAGAGATCAAGAAACTGGAGAGGGGTGGAGTCACGTTCAAACTAAGGCAGCATGGCTCCAGAACTTGCCCCTAACTCCATCTGCAGCAACAGCAAAGCTAGCTCCCAGCCTGAGGGGCCAGGCACGCACTTCTTGAGGGACACGCAGTACACAGCCAGCTGCTCCACCGCTGCCGGTCCCGCGCCCATGTCTCGGATCATCTCCTCCACCTCGGGCCGCTGGCTCTGGAGTAGGAGATCAATCCTGAAAAACATACCCGACCCACAGCATTTGAAATCTGGAGGCTGACGGGTAGGTACCCAGTGCAGCTCTGCCTCCCTTTGCTGCTGTTGCTATGGTGATAGCCTGAGCTGCCAGGATGCTTTAGCAGGTGGGTGTGCCCAAGGAAAGGCCCCACAGCAGAGCTGAGTCCAGCTCCAGAGATGCTGCTGGGGAAGAAACGGTGCTGGTGGGGGACTTCGAGGTCAGGGGATTTCCAAGGAGAGGTTTCTGGAGGGAAAGACCCGCCAGGTCACCTGGCCACAGGCGACAGGGACAGGGAGGTATGTGGCAAGACACCCCGTGGAAAGCGGAGTTCGGATAGTAAGCCAGGAGACGTGTGCCCGTACCCGGCTGGCCTGAGCCCTCCACGGCCTACGGAGAGTTGGGCCTGAGGTGACCTGGCCCCGCTCCCTGCTGTGATCCTGGAAGTCCACCCCCGGAACCTAGATGCACGGGCACGGGGCAGCCTCCACTCCAAACTCACTGCTCCATGGTCTTCATCTTGCTCCGGAGTCGGCGGGCCTCGTCCCGGGCTTGTTTGGTCTCATCCTGCTGTTGCTCCAAGTACTTCATCTGCTTCTGAAAAGCAAATGTGCCTTGCCTGCTGCCCGGAGGAGTCTCGAGGAGTCTGCACCGCATTTTCGAACTGCTGACCACTGTGTGCCTTCAACCGAGGAGGCAGGACTCCTGACCCCACTCTGGCCTGTGCTTTTTCTGCTAAGGGGAAGCCAGCTGCTTTCTCATTCCTTGCCTGCTTCCAAGACGCCTCACCACGGCTCAGCCCACTCCCAGCACCTGCCAGCCCACCTGGAGCTGAAAGGCCTGTGGTCTGAGCCTCCTGGCACGTGTGGTGCAGGCAGCTAAAGAAGTCCAGAGGACTGGGCCAGCCTGTGGCTGGATCCACCGGTTGAGTCCCAAACCTGGGGGGCTAAAAAAACATGCCAGGGGGAAACCGCAGGTAGCGGAAAGGCC